GTATATATACTCATAAATTCTAGCGGCTTCAAATCAAGCAGGAGAAAGCTGGTAGGCCCACATGTGAGAGAATGGGTCTGTGTGGTCAGTGTGCACCATATAAAAAAATTCTGGAGCACACAGTGCATAATGAGAAAAAAAACTCCGATTGTTTTTTTTAATTAAATGCCGACTTTGTGGTCTATTTTCGTATAGTATTTATGGTTGTATTCTCGTTTTCTTGGTCTCATTTGATAGAATGGAAAACATATTATAGAAATAGCGGTGATTTTGATTGATTTTACTATAAAAAGAACCTAGAAATGGAGCTCAAATTAGGGGAAATGTTTGATTTTTGCCAATGTTCAAAAGTAAACAAATGACGCCATTGTCCAATAAATGTCCAACTAGCCATTCTAATATGCAGTCATGAATGGGTTGATGTTATTTATACAATTATTACAGTATTGCAGTAGTCTGCATAATAGTAAGTCTTCTATTTTTTGTTTGAATAAAAATTCAAAATAGAAAGCAAGAGTAATATCAGAGGGGCCTGGAGACATGACTGATGAGCAAAGAAAATGTTATTTTAGAGCCAGGAATGTCTGCATTGTTCATTCTGGACCTTATTTTGAAATTGTCATATTTTTTAGTTTTCGTGAAATTGGCCAAATTGCAAATTTCTGACCACATTATTAGGTAGTTGAAATCAGTAAATGGGCAGTTTCTTGTACTCAATCGATAGAAAAAATGGAATTCTAAAGAAACAGCTATGAGTTTGGGTGACTGGAACAATGGAATTAGCCAAAAATAGGGCTCAAAGTGGGCGAAATCGTCGATTTGTAAACAGCGCCGAGGTCGCTAACTTCGCGAGAGCTGCCGGGAAAAGATTCTCTATCATTTCATAAGAATTTTTTTTTTTTTTTTTAATTTTGCGACACCAGGAGACACCTCAGGATTGGGGGTTGCGACAGTCAAAGGGTTAAGGAAAGTTAAGGCACATGGAATAGGAGGAGAAATTTTTTCCTGGGTAGAGGAATGGCTGACAAATAGACAGCAGAGAGTTTGCATAAATGGGGAGAAATCAGAATGGGGGCACGTCACAAGCGGTGTTCCTCAGGGGTCAGTTTTGGGCCCGTTGTTGTTCACAATTTACATAAACGACATAGATGAGGGAATAAATAGCGACATAAGCAAATTTGCTGATGACACCAAAATAGGCCGTCCAATTCATTCTAATGAGGACGCTAAAGCACTCCAGGATGATTTGAACAGACTGATGCAATGGTCGTAGAAGTGGCAGATGCAGTTTAATATTGACAAATGCAAAGTTCTAAATGTTGGACAGTTAAATAACCATGCCACATATAAACTAAATAATGTAGATCTTAATACTACTGATTGCAAAAAGGATTTAGGAGTTCTGGTTAGCAGTAATCTAAAACCAAGATAACAATGCATTAGTGTTTGCAATAAAGCTAACAGAATTCTTGGCTTCATATCTAGAAGTATAAATAATAGAAGTCCTCAGGTTGTTCTTCAACTCTATATATCCTTGGTTAGGCCTCATTTAGACTATGCTGCTCAGTTCTGGTCACCGTATTACAGAATGGATATAAATGCTCTGGAAAACGTACAGAGGAGGATGACAAAGATGATCCCATGTATCAGAAATCTTCCCTATGAGGATAGACTGAGGGCCCTGAATCTGCACTCTCTCGAAAGGCGTAGAATTATGGGGGATATGATCGAGGTGTATAAATGGAAAACAGGAATAAATAAAGGGGATGTAAATAGAGTGCTGAAAATTTCTAGCCAAGACAGGACTTGCAGCAATGGTTTCAAGTTGGAAAAATTCAGATTCAGAAAGGATATAGGAAAGCACTGGTTTGGTAATAGAGTTGTGGATGAGTGGAACAAACTCCCAAGTACAGTTACTCAGGCTAAAACGTTGTGTAGTTTTAAAAATAGGTTAGATAAATACATGAGTGGGTGTGGGTGGGTGTGAGTTGGACCTGACTAGCTTGTGCTGCTGGGTCTGGCGCAGTGCTCCATCCTTGAGTGGAGGTGACCAGACTGCGTGGGTCATTGGGCTAATCCGGGGGGGGGGGGCATGGACCTGCTCCGCATGGGTCAGTAGGCCTGTTGCAGTGTTCCTTCTTTCTTATGTTCTTATATCAGTGCACTAGTGAAAGAATATTAAACTCCCCAGTTAACGTGTATTGGACATGTGGTGTAATTTGCTTACTCCTGAACATTGGTAAAAATCAACCATTTCCGCTACTTTGAGCTCAATTTCAAGGTTGTTTTCATTGTGAAACTAATCAAAACCATCTCCATTTCTGCAATATGTTTTCCATTTTATCACATGAGACCATGAAAACGAGAATACAATGATAAATACTGTACGAAAATACACCTCAAGTTTGGCATTTTAACCCTTTCAGAGTCCGTGCCGTAGATCTACGACTTTACGTTCAGGGTCCAAACCATAGATCTACGCCTTGAGCTCGGCTCACTCTGATAAGCTGTGAGCAGTAAATTTGGGCCTAGATATGAGAGAGTACATCTATGTGGTATGTGTGCACCACATAAAACAAATCCTCCAGCTCAAATTGCATAATGAGAGAGAAAAAAACTGAGTGTAATTTTCGATTAAAACAGCGACTTTGCAGTGTTTTTTCGTATGTTTTTTATAGTTTTATTTGCAATTTCTTGGTCTCATTTGATAGAATGGAAGATATACTACAGAAATAAAATTATTTTGATTGGTTTTAGTACTGGAAATGGCTTGAAACTAAGCTCAAAGTAGCAGAAATGTTAAATTTTTGCCAATGTTCAAGAGTAAACAAATGACCTCATAAGTCTAATACATGACAGCTGGTGGGTCTAATATACATTCGCAAATGTGGTGATATTATTTATACAATTATTACAGTATTGCATAACAGTAAATCTTCTATTTTTTGGCTTGAATAAAAATTCATTATGTGAATAAAAAATCAAAATGGAATTCATTTGTAAAGCCTGAAAACATAACTAATGAACAGAGGAAATGTTAGTTTAGTGCCAGGAATGCCTGCATTGTTTATTCTGGACCCTATTTTGAAATTGGAATATTTTGAACTTTGCATTAAATTGGCCAAATTACCAATTTCCAGTCACTTTATTTTGTTGTTGAAACAGTTGACTTAGCAATTTCTTGTGCTCAATCCATAGAATAAAAGTAATACTAGTGAAATAGCTAAGAATTTGGTTGACTGGAATACTGTAATTGGCCTAAAATGGGAGTCAAATTTGGCAAAATTGCCATGCGTAAATATCGCCGACACGTCAAAATTCGCGAGAGCATATTTTCATCAGTTTTCCATCAAATTTCGTGCTTTTTGTTTTATTATCTTCAGAAAAAGATTCTCTACCATTTCATAAGAAAAAATAACAAAATTATATTTTGAAAATTCTTCGACCCTGGTGCACACTTTGAAATTTGGCCTCTTGACCCTGAAAGGGTTAATCCCCAAAAAAACGGTCGGAGTTTTTTTTTTTTCTCATTATGCACTGCGTGATGCAGGATTTTTTTATGTGGTGCACACTGACCACACAGACCCTTTCTCTCACATGTGGGCCTACCAGCTTTCTCCTGCTTGATTTGAAGCCGCTAGAATTTATGCGTATAAATACGTACGTCCGAAACAGTGGTGCGTAAGACGTGTATATACGACCAAAACAGTCCAAGCGTTAAGACAAAAAGGAGACTGTATGAGGGTATAGTGATGTGGGCATGAAGCGTGGGCCAAATACCGTATTGTTTTTTATATTTGTACTGCATTGTTACCACTATGGCTTTTTAGCACTCAGGTTGGCTGGGCTAAAACATACACTGCAACTTGCATGTTTTATCCCAGCGTCATCATAGTTTTGAATTTTGTTAAAAATATTATCAGGAATTAGACACAGAATAGTATTGTTCCAGTCTACATCTCTGGTCTTAATGTGCATCTCAGAAATTTGCCGAGTCAAAAATTCACAACGAAATGTTTCTCTATTTCTCATCGTGGTCATTAATTAAGGGTGGATTATATGTGACTGATAACTGTAGATGGGTCAAATGTTGGATCAGTAAATACTAAAACTTTATTACACTGCATTGTTTGTAATTACGTATTCAGTAGCTACAAATTGTCTATAAAATTGCATTTAACGTAACCCTGATCATAAGTTCATGTGACTTTGTGAGAAAATTTCAAGAAGCTGCCAGCTTTGAATTCTACCAGTATTTTCACTGAGCATTGTAATATAATCTGGAAGTACAGTACCAGAAATACTGTAACATTAGAAACTGCCCAAGTCAATTTAAACCCATTTTACAGTGATGGTAATTATATTGTCTATAATTAAAAAGGGCAAAGTGAAGGCACTTGCCACTGTAGGACAGTAAAAGCATAGGTTTACCTGGAGTTTACCTAGAGAGGGTTTCGGGGGTCAACGCCCCCGTGGCTTTGTCTGAGACCAAGCCTCATTGTATAGTAATTTGAAATATTTTTTTTTATGATGTTGATTATGTAAAATTTTCTGACCTTCATGCAATTTGTACTGTGCACTAGAAGTATCTTAATTTTCTTGTTTATTTCTGAAATATTTTTGTTATAAATTTTAAAAGGAATTTTAATGTCTGCATCTGACAAATTGTGCACAGTTTGACAGGCACAATCAGTTTATTTTAACCGGCTTCACTAAATAAGATGTGAAATTTCAAGGTGTTTAGTGAAACTTGTGTTCACAAGAGTAATTAACTTGATGTGAGACTGTGCATAATTAACTTGACATGTATAAAACTGCATAATGGCAATATTTAATTTTGTCATCCTTCAAGGAGAATGCCATGATGGTGTTGAAGGACTCTTGACTGAAGGATCAAACTTGATAACCCTGAATTTCCTTTTTGTGCTGCACGACTCCCTGCAGGTTTAGTGCCTTCTCATGACTATAATAATTCCAGTATGTTTTCTTTTTCATTGCAGGATTATTTTGCACAGAAAATGGCAAAATTGAAGAAGCCACTTATTGCAGATCTGCAAGCTAAGGGTATAGAGAGAGAGGACGAAGAAGAGAGAAAGGAGGACTCGGATGATAATATTCAAATAAATATTAGGAAATCATCAGATGAGGAAGTTAAGGAGACAGGAGAAAGCTACCAAATAATAACACAGCAAGAACTAAGCAGTGAAGCAAAAGAAAGTTTTTCACCCAAATTTAAGAAGTCAAAGAAATGTAAAAAGTCGCATCACAGTGAAGACATAGCAAGAAAACACAAGAGTAAAAAGAAGGTGAAGTTTCTCCAAGATGAAGATGTTTGTCAGTATTCTAAAGAACTTAATGAAGAGTCAGGAAAGATCATAAAAAAGAAAAAAATATCCAAAAAGAGGGATATAAATGAAGAGGAAATACAGAAAACAGCCAACAGTATTAGCAATAAAGTAAATGATGTGCATTGTAAGGAAAAAAATTCAGAAACTATAGTGGAAGAAAGTGTAGATGATACAGAGGTAACTGACCTAAAAGATACCACTAATGTGTCAGCTGATTTACACCAGTTAAAAGAAACTGTCAAAGGGAAGAAAAAAAAAGGAAAGAAAATGAAAAGAATCTTTGTAGATGCAGAACCAGAAAGCTGCTTAAATAACCACAAAGAAACAAAGTCTGAAAAACACAAGAAAAAGAAGCTTCATGACAAACATGACAATACGGATGTTTGTCCTGGCAGTAAACACACAAACAGGTTAGAGAGAGGGGTTGTAAGTTTTTCTGACTCTGACACTGCTCTGGAACCACTAGACCGTCGCTGCAAAAACAGAAGTGAAAATATTAAAGACATAATTAGCAAAATAAATGTCACAAACAAAATTTTTAATAAATGTGTGAATGACTTTATAGGAGAATTAGGTAATGAACAAATCCACAATTTAAAAGACTTAAAAAGAAGCAAGTCACAGGATTGTATGGATACATATACAAAAGCAAAAACTGCAAAGCTAGGAGGGTGCAACACAGGTGACAATTTGGCAAACGGAACTACTCTTCCACATCTTGAAGGTCAGATTAGCAAAAATGAACAAGAATCAGGTTTGCCAAATACAGAAGATAAAACAGAAGAGGATGGAAACAAATGTGATTGGAATGAAAATGTTGGGAATTATGAAGAGTTGAGGGAGCAGCAGGGTAATAATGTGGAAATGTCGTGGAGAAACAATAAATGTAAACTTAAAATGCCCAAAAGAAAATTAAGTGATGAAGAAATTCTTGAAGTAGCTCAGGCTTTCAAAGGAGCTAATCTGATGCAATGTAAAGGTTATAACACTAAAAAAATAAAATTAATTTGCTAGGTGTTTAACCATAAAAAATACCAAATTTCCTGAAAATCAAGCAGAAAGACCTCACATAGCCTTCATTTTGTGTATGCAAAAGTACTAATATTTGTCATGTCAATTTTGTAAACTAAAGATTTTTTTTTAGAAGATAGTAAATTTTTTGGAAATATTCGTGTAGTGCTGGGGTATACCTGGAAGGTATTCCCGGAGGGTATTCTGAGGGTCAGTGTCCCCATGGCCTAGTCCATAACCAGGCCTTGTGGTGGATCAGGGCCTGATCAACCTTATCAATTTCAATATAAAATTTTTGTTGCTCTATACAGGCTTAGTGCTTGTTATTTTAGTACACAGCCTTTCCTCACTTAATGATGGAGTTCCATTCCTAAGACCACATTGGTAAATGAATTCGTCGCTAAGTGAAGAGCATACTATAATGGTAGTGGGTTTGTGTCAACCATCTTTGACATTGTTTTGTCACCTTTGTATCATTTAAAACATTTCTGGTATAGTTTTAAATATTTATACAGTAGTGTACTGTAAATTGTAATAAACAGAATAGAGGAAATAAGCTCTGATATACATTGTTTAGGTATGAATACCGGTCAGAGAGCCCTTCGTAAGTCCATGTTGTCGATAAACAAGTATGTTGCTAAGTGAGGAGAGGCTGTAATTAATTTGAAAAATTGCAAAGAAAATGAAAATATAGAAAAATATATGCATGAGGCAATTAGCAAAATATGTTTTGCACTAAAAAAAAAAAATTTAAAATAAATTGAGGACATGGAAAGTAATGTTTTACTTGTGTTATCATTGACCTGTACGACCCAAGAAGTATTCTTTCAGCTTTACTTAGTGATAAAGCTGGAAAACTGATATCAAATGTTAACCATATAATGTAAAATGATGTCACCTTGGTAAGGTAAATTGCTGTAAATTACCGGTCATGTCACCTTCAGCCATAAGACGAGATACTATCAATCAGGTGTTTGCTTAGCCTTGGACATATTTTTAAGGCCTCACACATGGGAGTAAATCTACAACTTGACTTTATGTAACTTTAAAAAGGGTTGGACCGGTATATGAGTGGACGTGGTTGGGTGTGAGTTGGACTTGCATAGCATGGGGCAGTAAGCTTGTTGCAGTACTCTACTAATACTCTAATATTTTTACATGCAGTGTTTTCATATCCTCTGCATCATCAGGATTAAATTAGGAGGGTATTGGAAATAATGTTTATATACAAATTCAGAGGTATTTCAAGATTTATATATCCTCTGCTTCCCTTCATTTGCATATTCAAAGTTTAAATAATATAAACAGAGTACCTTCTGTATGTAAAGTGTGCATCAGTTTAGTTGCTTCCTGCCATTTGCAATATTAGGGTTGAATTGAGAGAAAATTGGATATATTAATATACAGTAGGTCGTCGTTTAACATGGTTTTGCCTTGCATGCTTTGGTTATAGCACGATTGAAGAAGTGCAGCATATTTCTGTTTAACACTTCGTAAAATTAGTTTAACACGGTTGCGGGAGGGGAAAAAATTTTGAACGCGCGGTCGCCCGCTGAGCAACCCCGCACAGTACCAACCTTCTGGAATAAATTTAACATTGCAGATGCCATCAACTATGCTACAAGTGCATAGAATGAAGTGCCCCAATCAACACTAAATGCAGGCTGGGGAAAGTTATGGCCTTCTGTAGTCAATTCTTTCACTGGTTTTCTCTTGCTTGAGAGTCAGGTTCAGGAAACTGTTCAGCTGGCAAGGAGATTACCAGGTGATGGTTTCGAAGATATGACTGAGCTTTTAGAAGATGATGATGAAGACAGGAGTCCAGAGGAAATATTGGCAGAGCTCGATGCACAGATAAAAGGGAGTCAGATAACAGAAGATGAAGAAGAACCTGAAGAAAAACAGTTAACATGGCAGCAGTTACATGTGCAGTTCCATATTATTGGTAAAGATGCAGACTTTTTCACTGAAGAGGACCCTGACAAATCTTGAAGCAGTGGTTTGAAACGGGGTCTAGATGAGCTGATGGTGCCTTACTGTCAGCTGTATAATGTACTACAGGGTAAAAGAGCCCAGAGATTCATTACAGAATTTATGCATGCTCCAATACAACCATTGACTTAGTACCAGAACCTCTACCATCCACTTCTGCCGACAACCAACAACCATCCGCCTCAGCCCAGAAGGGCCACACCATACATATCCACTCTTCACAATCATCCACAAACACCATGGAGATCTAAAAAAAAGTTGTTTGGCTTTTTGGGGGCTCTAGGAATGTAACCCTATTTTTCCCATAAGTTCTTCAGTTTGTCTAATGTGGTTTTGACTAACACAGCATTTTCAGGAATGTAACTACCATGTTAACCCCTAAACGGTCCAAACATATATATACGTTCTTAGGCATAGCACCCCAAACGTATATATACGTTTTAATTTTCCTGCCTCCAAATTTGGCACGATTGCCCTGAGACGCCTGGTCAGCATAGAATGGGTCTTAACACTTGGTGTGCACCATATTAAAAAAATCTGGGACCACTTAGTACCTTGTGGGAGCGCCAGTTAAATTGAGCCCCAGCTAGACCAAACAGTGCGGCAAACACCAAGGATTCACTGATGTAATGTCATATTAACACTCCTCTTTTAACCAGTAAACGGTCCAAGCAGATCTACGTTCACATGTGTAATGCTCCAAAAGTAGATCTGTCTTTTTTTTACATATTTTCAAATCTAACAAAAAAAAAAAAGTAGATCAAAGTTTTTTTACACATTTTCAAATGTAAAAAAAAAAAAAAAGATCTACTTTTTTTACATACTTTCAAATGTTGAAAAAACGTATATATACATTTGGACTGTTTACGGGTTAAGAGGAAAGTGATGTTACCCCCAAGTTTAGGGTCTGTCGATCTCTGTCTGTCAACCTCTGTCTATCTGTGTTTATCTCTATCTGTCTTTGTCTCTGTCTATCTCTTTCAATCTGTCTCTGTCTCACAAGTACACATAAATACAAGTATACATAGTTTAGATTACCTAGGATAACCCAAAAAATCCAGACAAAGTGCTATACTCTGCTTGAAGATGTGAGTAAGCGTGATGACACAGTCTTGTGGCTCTGAGACAGAGAGCTAGACGGATAGACAAATAGACAGGGAGCTTGACAAATACAGACAGACATGTTTGTGTACCAGCGAAAACAAAGGGAGGGCTGATGCTCATCAAATGTCATTTCTTATCAAGTGTTATCAATGCACCCTCATGTATGCTCATCAAACGTCAGCTCTTATCAAATATTATCTCATCATGTCACTGTCAGGGGTGGACTTTGTTTTCATGCTTCAAGGGAACTTATTATTACCTATTACATGTATTATTATTATTACGTATTCTCCTCCTCCTCTTCCTCCTCATTATAAACCGGGTACTACAGGACATGATGCCTCCCACTATCGCCCCATCGCTCTTACTAGTGCAGTTTGCAAAGTGATGGAACGTCTCGTAAATCGACGTTTAATGTGGTATTTAGAGACACACAACAGTCTCTCCACTAGTCAATATGGCTTTCGTAAGGGTCGTTCTACCATAGACCCCTTACTACGCTTGGATACGTATGTTCGTAATGCCTTTGCGAATAATCACTCGGTTATTGCCATATTTTTTGACCTTGAGAAGGCATATGACACAACTTGGAGGTATAATATTTTGGCCCAGGCCCATTCCTTAGGCCTCCGAGGCAATCTACCATCCTTCCTTAAGAACTTTTTAACTGACAGACATTTCCGTGTTCGAGTCAATAATGTTCTTTCCCCGGACTTCGTCCAAGCTGAAGGTGTCCCTCAGGGATGTGTTCTAAGCACAACACTTTTTCTCCTTGCTATAAATGATTTGGCCTCTGTTCTTCCACCCAATATTTGGTTATCACTCTATGTTGATGACTTCGCTATTGCTTGTGCAGGCTCTGACTGTCATCTTATTGCAGTTTCTCTCCAGCATGTGGTCGACCGTGTTTCCACTTGGGCCACCACGCATGGGTTTAAATTTTCAAGTACCAAAACTCACCAAATTACTTTCACTAGATGCTCTGTTATCTCCGATCATCCTTTGTATCTCTATGGCTCCCGTATCCCCGAACATGATACAGTCAGGTTTCTAGGCCTTCTCTTTGACCGTTGGTTATCCTGGAAACCTCACATTACCTCTCTGAAGGCAACTTGTCACAGCCGGCTAAACCTTCTTAAAACCCTTGCTCATCTTTCTGGGGAGCTGATCGTCGAACTCTGCTTCGCCTACATTCAGCCCTCGTTTTATCGAAACTCGATTATGGTGACCAGATTTATTCCGCGGCCTCTCCTGCTACTCTCTCTAGCCTTAACTCTATCCATCACCAAGGATTACGTTTGTGCCTTGGTGCTTTTCGCTCTTTCCCTGTTGAGAGCCTCTATACAGAAGCGAATGTTCCATCCTTGTCTGATCGCCGTGATGCCCATTGCCTTCGCTACTATGTACGCTCTCACGATCTACACAATCCTTCCATTTATAGAATGGTCACCGATATTAGTAGACATTCTTTATTCGTTCGCCGCCCGTTTGCTCCGTCCCTTTTCTCTTCGCCTACATTCACTCTTGTCTTCCCTTCAGTTACCACCTTTATATGTTCATGTAGCATCTCACTTTTCCCTACCCCCCTGGGAAGTTCCAGCTGTTCGGGTCTGTTCTTTCTCACTCCCTTGCTCGAAAGCTCAACTGCCTACGGTGGCTTCCCGCTCTCTTTTTCTTGATCACTTCCACTCCCATTCTCATGCCACCGCTGTGTACACAGATGGCTCTAAGTCTTCAGACGGCGTCGGATTCGCAGCAGTGTTTCCGGACAGCGTCGTGCGGGGGCATTTACTATCTTCAGCTAGCATTTTTACTGCTGAACTGTATGCCATTCTTGCAGCACTTATTCGTATCGCATCTATGCCTGTGTCATCATTTGTAGTAGTCTCAGACTCCCTTAGTGCTCTACAGGCTATACGAAAATTTGATACATCTCATCCCCTAGTTCTCCGTATCCAACTTTGGCTACGCCGTATCTCTACCAAACATAAAGATATTGTTTTTTTGGGTCCCTGGTCATGTCGACGTACAGGGCAATGAACAGGCAGACACTGCTGCGCGGTCAGCAGTACATGACCTACCAATTTCCTATCGAGGTGTTCCATTTCTGGACTATTTTGCTGCAATAGCTACCCACCTTCGCACCCATTGGCAACAACGTTGGTCAACTCTGCTTGGTAACAAACTTCATTCTATTAAACCGAGCATAGGTTACTGGCCGTCTTCTTGTCATCAGTGCCGAGGTTGGGAGACCACTCTCTCCCGCCTTCGCATTGGCCACACTCGTCTTACTCATGGGTATCTCATGGAGAGGCACCTGTTCCTCTCTGTGAGCAGTGTCAAGTTCCAGTATCGATTAGCCACATTCTGTTAGACTGCCCTCTCTATCAACGAGCACGCAGAATTTACCTCCAACGTCGTCTTCGTTCTACTACTCTCTCTTTACCTTCCCTTCTTGCTGATGGACCCTCCTTTAATCCTGACTCTCTCATTGACTTCTTGACAACGACTGATTTACTCCACAAACTCTGATGATACTTTTTGCACTCCCCTCAGCCCTTTCTAGTTCAGTCTCTTGCTGCCCTTTACCCTTTCACCATCCACTACCCCGCTGTTATCTGTAACCTATTACTCATCCATCTCCCTTTTGCCACCTGATGCCCTTGCTTCCTTCCTGCCCTGCAGTGCTGTATAGTCCTTGTGGCTTAGCGCTTCTTTTTGATTATAATAATAATAATAATCCTCCTCATTATTATTATGTACTTCCACATATCCAAAACACTGCTGGGACCTATAAATACTTTGTATATATTCCAAGACAATAGTAAATGGCCAAGGCAGGTGTAAATGTCCACCTGTCAGTGTGTTTGTGACAATTTCAATACCTAATACTAGTGTCAGAACAAAGATTGGTTATGAAATGACAAGAACTACTATAAATTGTAATTATCAGAACATAAAAATTATATAAAATATGAAAAATAGAAAAAAAAGGTATATCGGCAACACTTCTGCAAGTGGCAGGACTCGATGTTGCCGTCACGTGAGAATCGGTGCCAACTTTTCGGCCTCATATTTCTAAGTACTGACTCTATTTCTTTTATGTTCTAAAACACTTAAAATGTGCTCTTTTTTTTTTTTTCAAAATATTCAGGGCGCTGCGCAAGAGAACATATATGTATGTTTGGACCATTTAAGGGTTAAGACGATCTACTGTAATACCTGTATATACACCATGTGTCAGTTGGATCGTTATAAGTGTGCATGGTTCAGCTGCAATTACCTCCCACCCCTGCTACACCATCTCTCCCTCCTTATCACTGATCCTTCCTACCACCACCACTTTCTCAATCCATCCCTCTCACTTTTCTTTCTTATTTAGGGTCTGTGTACATGATTAAGACACCATTTTCAACAAGTATGTGTATATACCACACAATCTTTTTACAATAGTTTTGATGGCAGAAGGTTTTTGTGGCCACTAAAAGCACATCAAAACCTTGAATAGCTTTAAAAATAAGTTGGACCACTATATAGGTAAGGAAGGTTGGGTTGGAAATTAACCCGATTAGCATTGGCCAGTAAGTCTGTCGCAGTACTCCTTTATTTATATGTGCTTTTTTTCATCATTTGATTATTTTTACATATTTTTTTTGGGGTAGTATGCAGTCATAAGACTGGGTATAATTCTGGGCATGTTATTTAGAAAAAATGCAATTTATGGATGGTAATATATGATAGTGCATTGTGTATCATTGTATTAATTGGGAAATGCTAAACCTGTAAGGGTCATATATATATATATATGATAGTGAATCATTTATCTTTGTATTAGTTGGGAAACGCTAAATCTGTAAGGGTCATACAGCATTTGGAGAATTGGAAGCAGTTGAGTTTGATTTAAGAGGGAACATAAGAATGGAGGAACACTGTATTTAGTGACATAAGTGTTACAAACACTCACTGATCATGTATGTGTCTAATAAAACAATTGGATATATGATGAAATCTTTATTAGAAAACTCTAAGAATACATTATAAACATTTATCTAGCTTTGATGGAATGAAGTAAAATGCTGGACTTATCTTGGCATCACATGGACAACGACATGCTGGAAAGAATGGTGTGTTGCTGTCACTCTTAATATCAATAAAAATACCATGTTAAAAAATTATATGTTAAAAAATAAGTGGTAAAATTCTTTTAATCAGAGAAATGTGCAATGAAGAATTAACATTAAAACCATTTCTAACCAGTTTCCACGTCTATTATTATATTAAAGAAGGTGGAATCCCATAATGGTCATGTAGCAACTGTGTATGAGTGGCAATCAGCCTAGATGTAAGCAAGGAGAGTATAGCTCCAATTAATTGGATCAAGAGCCCTTCACTGTATTCTATATTTTTTGTTAATGGTCACTGGTCTACAACATATGCAAGCGAAGCTAATCTCAGAGCTGCCTTTAGAAACCTCAATTAAAAATATTTTAGGACTCAATATGACATATATTAGGCCTATCATGGAGTATGCAGGACCAGCGTGGAACCCCATATAATTAAGCATATATGAAAACTAGGAAAATTCTAGAGGTTTACGATATGACTAATCCTAAGGGCGAGGAAACTGGGTCATGAGGAGTGACTAAAGGAATTGAACCTGATGACTTTAGAAGCAAAAAAGATTCGGGAAGACATAATTATGACAAACAATATGCTCAAGAGGCTTTGGCAGAGCAGACAGGGACAGACTTTTTGACATCCAAGGCATAGGTATGAGGGGTTCCAGATGGAAGCTTAAGACATAGAAGATTCCCATGGATATTAGGAAATACAGTGGTACCTTGGGATACAAACAGCTCAAAATGCAAACAATTATGTAAGTGTATTTATGTAAGTGCTTTTGCAAGTGTATTTTTGGGGGTATGAAACGGACTAATCTAATTTACATTATTTCTTATAGGAACAAATTCATTTGGTATCAGCACTCGAACAGCCTTCTGGAACGAAAAAAGTTCGTATCCCGAGGTACCACTGTACAATAGCTTTTTCAGTGTCAGGATGAGCTAGTGGTAGAGGCAAACTCAATACATATTGTCAAGAGCAGACATGATAAGGCCCATGAGGCTAGAAACCAACAAAACTGGCAATTGTAGCTTAGAGGCAAAACCAGGAGCTTAGACCTGAACCACCACATATATAAGTCAGTGAGTACAAACTGGTGAGAAACACACACACACACACACACACACACACACACACACACACACACACTGCAGAAGTATGCAATGAGGCTTGTTGCAGAGCTAATGGAATTGAATCTAACAACAGTGGAGGACAGAAGAACCAAGGTGTCCAACTCATCATTTGTAACCTGTAATGTAAAGAATTACTCATGCTGTACTCAGCACGATACTGCCTAAAATTACATGCCAGGACTACAATTAAATGGTTTGTAAGTTTTAGGATTAGTTTCCTTGAAATGCTCTGTATAGTAAGTGACTTTCTACTATCTAGCATTTGTACCAAATTTTATTATAATTTTTTCAAAACGGTAAGCACATGGTATGTAAATTTAATCTCTGTAGTTTCTATGTATGATCATTAGAAATACAGTGGACCCCCGCATAGCGAACTTAATCCGTGCAAGAGGGCTGGTCGTTATGCGAAATGTTCGCTATGCGAATTAATTTTCCCCATAAGAAATAATGGAAATAAAATTAATCCGTGCAAGACACCCAAAAGTATGAAAAAAAATTTTTTTTACCACAAAAAAATTTTAATTTTAGTACACACAAACTGAAAAAGGCATGCACAATTACATGACACTTACTTTTATTGAAGATCTGGTGATGATTGATGGGATGGGAGGAGGGAGAGAGAGTGTTAGTGTTTAGAAGGGGAATCCCCTTCCATTAGGACTTGAGGTAGCAAGTCCTTTTCCGGGGTTACTTCCCTTCTTCTTTTAATGCCACTAGGACCAGCTTCAGAGTCACTGGACCTCTGTCGCACAACAAATCTGTCCATAGAGCTCTGTACCTCCCGTTCCTTTACGATTTGTCTAAAATGGGCCATAACATTGTCATTGAAATAGTCACCAGCACGGCTTGCAACAGCTGTGTCAGGGTGATTTTCATCCATAAAGGTTTGCAGTTCAATCCACTGTGCACACATTTCCTTAATTTTTGAAGTAGGCACAATGGATTCCACAACTGGCATAGGCTTCTCAGGGTTAGCCCCCAAACCCTTCAAAATCTTTCTTAATTTCCATACTAATTCTCACCCTTTTTACCACAGGGTTGGCACTAGAAGCTTTCTTGGGGCCCATGGTCACTTATTTTCCAGAAACAGCACCGAAAACACTGTAATAATACGAAATATTCCGAGTGTATGCTTGAATGTTACCGCGGAGGCTGGCTGGTAAACAATGGACGCGTCTCGGACGAAGGTCGCTGAGCGGGTTTTTGTCCACTATGCGGGGCAAAATTTTGGCGAACAAAGCGTTCGCTATGCGGATTGTTCGCTATGCAAGGCGTTCGCTATGCGGGGGTCCACTGTACAGTTTTTTTTTATATGGATGGTGAAATGTTAAGAAAACTGTTTATAACTTAGATTAGGCCAAAACTGGAATGTGCAGAGGTTGTGTGGTGGACACACCTGTAAAAACACACATAAACTACTGACTGGCTGCCTGAGTTGAGCAGTATGAGTTACAATGAAAAGTTGAAAGCATTAAAGTTGATCATGTTGGCTGACAGGAGGCAAAGAGGATAAATAATAATCAAACAAAGTCTTGAAAAGACTAAAGAGAGTAGATAAAGATTTCTTAGTAGCTGCAACAGGGATAACAAGAGGTCACTGTTGCAAATTGAGGAAAAACCGGAGTGAAAGAATAACAGAAAACTTGTCTTCTCAGAGTGGAATATATGAAGGAGGAACAAGTAAATGCTGCAATCACTGGGAAAAAAAAAAATATGATGAAGAAAGTAATGAAGATAAACACCACGAGCACAACTCTGCTACTGTAGCTAGAAATAGATACTGTAATTACAAAGAGGAAATTACACAACTTTACACATTCACTTGTACACTCACACACTCTTATTGTCATTCAAATTTCAAACTTTCTCATACACTCATTCCAACTCATATTCTCATACACTCTCACTCAGAGTTTCAAACTCTCACACACACTATCCTCCCTTTCCCACATCCTCCCCACAAGTACCTCTCACAGGCCTACTCCAGTGCTACTTTCAAACTGATCCTTTATTTCTTAGTATAGTACAATGCGTAGCTTACATGTAATAAAACAATGTCAAGCTTTAAGAAAGCCACTAGCATGCATGAGCATTTTGGGCAGATTAATTCTAATGCTACACATTACTTAAAACTAGGCATAGGTTATGGAGTGGTAAATTTTAATAATGTATTATTACAACAATGAGAGGTACCAAAATTTATAATTAATAAAATTTATAGTAGAGAGGTAGGAAAATATAATTAGTAAAATTTACATTTAGAAATTTTAGCATACATACAGAGGTACAAAAAAAAATACAGGTAAGAGCAGCATGCCAAAGCCACTTATATGCATAGCATTACGGGCTGGCTTAAAATTAACTTAAGATTAACTAAGCAATGATGAAATCAGTGATAAGACATTATTGTAAACAGATAACTATAAAGCACAAATGAGTATTACAAAGACAGGTCATATGGTTGCATGCATTGCTGTTCATTCAGTAGAATGGAGTATTCTGTTAGGTAGTGTATTTAAAAAAATAACAAAGTTGATTGGGTCCTAGGTTTAACATTTATGTGTTTATAATTGTGAGTAACATTTTGGATATACAATTTATAAGGTTCAGTTATTCAGTATTTATTTGGTTTTGAGTGAGTAAGTGAACTTTGAGAAGAGACTTGAATTTATAAACAGGTAGTGTTTCTTTTATATTTACAGGAAATGAATTTTCCAGATTTTAGGGCCTTTTATGTGCATTGAGTTTTTGCATAGCGTGAGAGGGACACGAGGAACATCAAAAGAGTGATCTGTGCCTTGTGTTATGGTCATGTGTTCTTTTGAGGTTGGCAAGGAGATGTTTGAGGGGAGGGTTAATTATCAGAGTTAAGTGTTCTATGTATGTAATAGGTGCAATAATATGTATGGATGTTTTGTATGGAGAGTAGGTTGAGTGTTTTGAATTTTGGGTTTGGAGTGTGTTCCCTGAGTGAGAATTTGTTTTTCATTCTAACTGAAACCCTTTTGTTGGGTAATTAGTGGTCTGAGATGGTTAATTGTTATTGAGCCCCATGCACAAATTCCTTAGGTGAGATAGGGGTAAATTTAAGAGAGTGATAAAGGGCCAGGAGGGCTAAACTGTGGAACATAGTACCGTATCTTCGATAGTATGCCTACAGTCTTGGAAATTTTCTTAGAAATTTGTTGTTATGTGTATGAAATTTGAGTCTATTATCGAGGTGGATTCCTAAAAATTTTCCCTCTGTTAGCTTTGTGATAGGTGATCCTTTATCGTTATGTTAAGAGGTACATCTGTAGCCTGTTACCAAATGAAAGAAGTAGGTTTTGTCATGTTTAGTGTAAGTTTGTTAGTCCTCATCCAGGTAGATATTTTCTGTAATTCGGTGTTTACAGTATTGGCTAGCGTGACTGGGCTCGGGGTGAGAGAAGACGTATGTAGTGTCATCTGCAAAAGTGTGGGTTTGAGTAATTGCGAAGCATTTGGGTAGATCATTTATGTATAGGAGAAAGAGAAGAGGGCCAAGGACCCCTTCCCTGTGGGACACCAACTGTAATTTGGGTTTTGCGGAAGAGCTTGCCCCATTTGCGTACACATATTGGCTTCTGTTGCTGAGGTAAGACTTGAGGTAGTTGAGGGAGTGCCCTCTAATAAACCCTAGTGTGGCAATTTTACGTGGAGCAAGTCATGGTCAACTGTATCAAAAGCTTTACGTAAGTCAATGAAGATCCCCAGTGGGACTTCTTTTTTCTCTATTGCAATGTATATAAAGTTCTAGCTTTTGTATAATAGCATCATTAGTATTTTTTTAGGGCCCGAATTTGAAACTGGCAGGGTTGAGAATGTTTTGGGAG